GGGGAGCTGTACAGGAAGAATGGGCTCTCCTTAAACCAAAAAGGAACCAGATTGCTGGCACTTAGGTTAAAAACTGCTCTACAACCTTTTTAATATTAAGGGCTGGGGGAAAACCGAGCACATGGATTGAACAGAGACATCTCTTAGGGGAGTCTATTAATAGAGATTCCCTATGTTCTAGTAAGGAGAAGAGGCTGGAAGATAATAAAATACGGGTAATATTAGATGCGAAATAGTCAAATGAAAAAGTGTGTCATTCAGACACATCAGAAAATGGCAGATAGCTAAATGGTGACAAATTTTTAAAGTGCTTATACACAAACACTAGAAATCTAAATAAGATGGGTGAACTACATACAGTGCCTCATATTTAAGGAGGATATTTATATGATAGGTATCACAGAAATTTGGTGGAATGAGGGCAATCAATGGAACAGTCATACCCAGGTACAAAATGTATTGGAAGGACAGAACAGGTTGTGCTGGTGGGGGAGTGGCACTATACATGAAAGAAAATGTAGAATCAAATGAAGTAAAAATCTTAAATGAACCAAAATGTTCCATAGAATCTCTATGGATAGTAAGTCCATGCTCTAATAATAATAATAATAAAGAATATAGCAATTGGGATAGATTACTGACCACCTGACCCAGGCTAGTTAAAGTGACTATGAAATGCTAAGGGAGAATAGAGAGGCTGTTATTAACAGGACCAGTCCCAATTAAATCATCTTACTCAGGGCTTTGTCAAGCAGAGACTTAATAACCTCAAGGGATGGAGACTTCACCACCTTCCTAGGTAACCCATTCCAGTGATTCTCCTCCCTCCTACTGAAATAGTTTTCCCTGATACCCAACCTAGACCTTCCCCATTGCAACTTGAGACCATTGCTCCTCATTCTGTCATGTGTCACCACTGGGAACAGCCTCTCTTCATCCTCTTTGGAACCCCCTTTCAGGTAGTTGAAGGCTGCTGTCAATCTCCTCCTTCCCCCTTCCTTACTCTTCTGTGGGCTACATAAGCTCAAACCCCTTTGCCTCTCCTCATAAGTCATGTGCTCCAGCCCCCAAATAATTTTTGTTGCCCTCTTATGGACTCTCTCCACTGAAGCCACATTCCTTCTGTAATGGAGGCCCATAATTGGATTCAATACTCCAGATGTCTCCTTACCAATGCCGAATAAAGGGGAATAATCACTTCTCGATTTTCTGGCAATACTCCTCCTAATGCACCCCAATATGCACTTAGCCTTCTTGGCTACAAGGGCACACTATGGGCTTATATCCAGCATCTCGTTTACTGTAATCCCCACATTCTTTTCTGCAAAACTGCTGTTTAGCCAGTCGGTCTCTAGCCGGGTCTCTTCCCTCCCAAGTCCTCGTTAAACCTCATTAGATTTCTTTTGGCTCAATCCTCCAATTTGTCTAGGTCACTCTGGCCCCTATAGCTATCTCTCCCCCTAGCCTAGTGTCATCCACAGACTTGCTGGGAGTGCACCTCCTCCTTCTTCACTGAGCGGGAGCCTGTCCCTGGCTTCCAGCCCAGCCAGCGCATGCACACAGGGATCTGCCGCCACCCAGTTGTGCTTAGCTATGAAAGCTGGCTCGGGAACTCCCGGCGGGGTGGCTGGGGCTGAGCAGGGGCTGCCACTACCCAGGTGGCTGGGGTGGAGTGAGGGGACAAAGGTGGGAGAAGCCCTCTGAGCCGGAGTCAGCGTTCCGCCGCTTTCAGCCCAGCCTCTCCCTGGCTTGGTTCCCTCTTTCTCTCGCGCTTCTTGCCCCCTTCTTCCCTTTTCCTTCCATTCTTCTCCGTCTCCCCCGGTTCCCTTATTACGTGTATGCAGATGCAATGTACAGTAACATGTGACTGCTTAAAATTAATGAATATTCTAATATGTGAATAAATTAATTGCCACAACAAATATGCAGCTATTGTTATACCGATCGCCAAACATTTTTGAATGAGTTTCCCAGTCCATAGTATAAAAAGGTTGGAAACCACTGAAGTAGTTGATACAAATTGTATCGACTACACGATTACCCAGTTACCTGCCTATTAACATTCTTAATTCAGACCTATGTGAAAACTGTCCGTCTTATTGACAGATCTGATCTCTTCATTAAATTCATCTGAGTGTGGGGATGGGGTGAGAAAACAGATTGTTCCCCTCTCTGGGCTGCTGGAGGTGGCTCTGGATTGACCAGATTACTAAAAAGTTGACAGGCATTTGATTAAATAAAATAACGTATCATTCTAGACAAGTAATGGAGTAGTTGTTTTATAAAAATCCGACTATATTATGAAGTTTTTACCAAAATTTTAGTAGAACCAAGATTTGGAATCCCTTTCTGATGCAGGAGCATCTTTTCTCACACATTTACTTCAAATCCAATGGTTGTAGGTATCCTTTGGTTGTATGTAGACTGGCATTATGTAAGAATTTTTACTTCTAAACCTAAAGCTACTGGGAGCCCTTGAGAGGCTAAATCTTCAGCTTTCTTGGTTAATGCAGATGAAGGTGTGGTAAGAATGAGCTTTTACAGAAAATTCTGTGAAAATCACATCCATGCTCTGCAGAAGAATATCAGAAGAATATCTTCGGTGTTTGCTGCGTTGTGCCATCTGGCAGGTCTTGTCTTTATGCTCTGCTACTAGTTGATGGAAAGTGCAATCTTCAAGACTCCTGCCCACCAAACTCCTTCTGTGGGCATGGAAGCTTCCAGTACTACTTTGATGTTTTGCCTTATTCTAAGAAAAGAAGATAAGAGAAGGTCTGGGAAGTGAGTTATAGCTCACGAAGTCTTATGCCCTAATATATAAGTGTGCGTGTGTCTGTGTGTCTGTCTGAGATTCTGTTTGTTTGTTCAAGAACTTCTCCTAAATAGTATAAGCTAGGGCCACCAAATTTGGTCTTCCCCTAACTTAAAGCAAGGTCAGGTTTTGGTTGTGCCAGGACAACCAGAAGCCCTGGTGAAAGGACTGATTTCCATAACATGGAAAGGGAGGGGCTGCTGTTCCAAGGGATGCAATAAGAGAGTAGCCACTAGGGGCAGCGAGCCCATAGGGGAGAGCTATCCTGCAGTGTCCACTGGGGGGCAGCCATATCACCAAGGGAGTAGCCAGCAGCTCTGGGGCTCTGCCATCTTGCTTGCCAGCGCACCAAGTAAGTAGCCCCCATACTCCAAACCTTTTCCCCCTTCCTGGCCCTTGGCAACAGCACCAAAGGAGAGGAGAGGCCCCGGTGTCCAGGGGAGGAGTGGAAGAGATAAAAGGCCCCTGACAGCCGGAGGAAGGGCCAGGGGAGGAAAAAGGTCCCTGGCAGCCTGGGGAGGGATCTTGGGGGGGTAGGTCTGTGCTGGACGGGACCCCCCCCCTCCTGAGCCTCTCCTCACTGTCCAATCCTCTGTCACACACCCCTCCACCTGCAGCCTCTGGCACTGCTCCACTCATTTCCCAGACCCTTCCCTGTCTCTTGTACCCCCAGCTCCCTGCCATGAAGGACCCAGGCAACACCAGGTAAGTCTTCTAGAACCCTAACACATTTGTTAATCTTTGAAGTGCCACTGGATAGGATTTTGCTGAAACAGACTATAACATGGCTACACCTCTGAGAGAAGGTCAGTTACTCTAATCTATATCAAGGACCCATTTCTTCATAATCAGGAATGTTTCAAAGCTTTGTATATAAAATGTCACATCTTACTGGGACCCTTGTCTCCAGAACTTCTGTGTTAGTGCTACAAGGTACATACCAAGGTTTACTAAGACCACTTGGCTAATTTACTCTGTGGGCACCATTAGCTACAATTATCACTCTGCTTATATACAGTAAAACTCTGGTCTGGCATCTGGTGGTCCGGCACCATCAGGAACCCGGAAGTGCTCCGGGCAGCCAGACCATTGGAGCTGCTCTGCCCCCAGCTTCCCCTATTCAGCCGCTGCTAAAACTGACCAGCCGCTGAATCGGGGAAGCCGGAGGCAGAGCAGCTGGGGCACTGTCTGGGGGGGCCCAC